TTTTTTTTAAAATTTTTTTTTTTTTTTTTTAATTTTTTTTTCATTTTTCAAAAAAAAAAAAAAAAAAAAAAAATTAAATGTGTATCGTGATATCAACCGTCACTTTCAGGAGATTACTTTATTGTGCCAGATCAACAAATCTTTGAAGTTCGAGTTCATAACAGCAAGTGATATCCTGTGGGATCTCGAAGCAGGACTTAATAGTTTTTTTGTTTTTTTTGTTTTTTTTATATCACACACCTCTAATTTACCGTCACGTCCTCGAGGATCAGTACATAAGCACAACCCCGCGAGTCACCGCTTTCGTCATGGTTCGATACCAAAGCAGGTTAGTCTTGTTTTAAAATTCATGAAGGAAATTAAATTGTTACCTTGTCGAGAATTGATTAACTGTTTTCATGCCAAACGCACAAACACCCAAGCAGTCACTCGACTGAACACAAGCAGCAACATCCGCAAATCCCCTCTGAGGGGGCTTCCATTCACAAGTGGTAACTGCACTACATGTTTTCCTCATGTGTTCAAAGAGGGGCAAAAGTTGAGGACAATAAATTCTGAGAGAGATGATGATGAAACGATGCTGTAACCCTCACTAACGTGCCATACATGCACTTGGCATGCAAGCGTAGACTTTTCCAACTTCTCGGCTCATGCACAATATTCAATTAGCCCGGGCATCAGTTATGGAAGAGTTATGTTCAAGTATCTTAAACACATCCGAGGATCAGTTTGATCTGATGTTGTTCGCTTTGTCCAAGCTGGTTTTGTTGACTTTGTTGAGTTGTGAAGTTTGTGTGACTTGAAAAATCTGTTTTCCATCCTGCAAGCCCTGCAGATGTTCTAAGCATGTGTCCACCTAAATATGAAACAAAAAAATAAACAAATTGTTCTTCAAGGTGACAACGGAGAAAAGCGGCGATCCTGTCATGAGCAGCACCTTGGCTATCTCTCATGACGGATAAACAGGGAGCTCTCAGTGGGCCAATTAATACAAACAGAGAGAGCAGTCAGCGGTTTCCTGTGAGACCTGCCAACTTCACCAGCTACTACTATCTCAATCGGGTTTCCATTACGACCACATTTAACTTGATTGCATCAGGTTGCCTTTCTACAAATCTCTCCAATTGCTTCTCATACGGCAGATACAACATGTTAGGCTCAATAGAAACGTGCTTCTAAATCATTTGTATTTGTATTTGTCCTCTTGCAGATTTTCTTCTGTTTTCATGACATTTTAATGTTTAATGTTGCATTACCTGACAAAGATGACATTACAATATTTCATTTATTTAAGGGAAGAATCAACCCAGATCTGCAAACCCTTTTGTGAAAAAGTTATTGGCTTCTAACCACAATAAATGATCTGGCCAACAATTACCTTTAAGTGCTTGTAATAACTGACTATGAGATTGTTAAGATGTTTCTGGGCTTCTCTCATTTAGATTTAAGTGCTTTAGAGCACAATAAATAAATAAATAAATAAATAAATTAGTTTACACAACAGCATCACAAATGGATTTAGGCCCAATCACTAAAAAATTTTGTTTTCTTTTTTCATCTATTGAGTGATGGACTTGCTGATGTGATTTGGACCTTTGTTTTGTTACGTAACTCAAGTGCAACTGAGCTTAAGGTCAAAAACTGTTGGCCAGACATTCATCATTTCATGACTATTTGTTTTGGCAAAGAAGAGAAAGATCTGTGTATAATTATTTGAGTTTTGTTTGACCTACTGTCCATTGGATGCCATTTTTGTCCAGCCTCTTTATAATTGTTAAATCATAACCCTAACCAAAGACACCAAGATCCTGGGTGGTTTGGATAACTTGTAATTTTAATGAAATCATTCTTTGATTAATGTGTTTATTATTTACTCAGGCTATCTTAGCCCAGTATTAAAAACTGCTTTTACAGTTTGAAAGCTGCAAGTATGAAAAGAAAGCAAAAACAAAAGAAGTATTTTACAACAATGTGTGTTTCAACTTTCCGCTTTGAGCACCAACGGCTCCACTGTCGAGACAATGTCATTATCTGAGCTGGAAGCTTCCCAGTAGACAAACTGTTTACTGGCCTTTCAATCTGTCACTTGAGCAGAACTGTAAATAAACCTATTGATTCTGGCAAACAGATCATGTCGAAGAAAAGCAACTCAGCAAATGAGATGGAGGAATGGTCGGACGGAGACGTCTGGTGATATAGAGGTAATCTGAGGGAAGAACAGTAGGTAAGGAGGGAACAGAGAGAGAGAGATGCAAATCCCATGGCAACAGCAACCAGAAAACAAGTCTAAAATAAGGGCAGTGTCCGCTATTGCTATAGCAACAGAAGAACGGCATACACTCAGCTTTGGGATTTGCTGAGAGGAGAAAAACAAAGCTTTAATTCTAACAAAATTATTATTGATGGATCTTGTCAGTCACTATGTGGGCTGTATCTCACCGAATTAGCAAGAAAAAAAAAATACTACTCAGCCTGCATTTGGATAACAATTTATTATCTTGAACAATTAATGTCGTATTCATTGACTTTCTGACATTTCCATCAACAAATTGCTTGTGGAACGATGAGCCAGTTGGTATAAACATACCATCAACATACATTAAAAGTAAAATCATTTAAGTCAAAATTTGAATTATAATGCTAAAAGCTGTTTTCAAAACAATATAATCTGAACATTTAACTCAATATTTGGTCAATAAAAGCAATTTTGTTTATCAAAAATAAGAACTAATATTTTAAAACTGAAACCTAAAGTGCAGCTTTTTGTTAGTGTGGAAAAGTGCTGTACCTGTCACCACACCCGGTTTGTTTACATGAAACATGTGCACGGTCTGCACTGCAGGGGGAAAAAAGACAACATTGACGCTTCGCCTTGCCTACCACTAACCAATCATATTTCACAGCGACTCTATTCCAACCAATGAGAGCGCGGCAGTAGGAGGTCGAACAGCCAATCACAGTGAGCGAGAACCACTGATGCAACGGACCTGCAACAGCCTCCTACTGAACACGTAGAGTAAAATAGTACGTCTACAACATTATACCGTGGTCTATAGTAAACTGAACTCTATGTACACTACGGAGATACGCTGTTTAAGTTGCTGGTTATGAATAGTTCTGCCCCGCTGAGTTTAGAAACTGACGTTGCTAGCTTGTCTCCGTTACATCTCATCAAAACCCTGCAGTAACTGAATTATTAAAACTACTTTCTGTCTTACTAAACGTTCTGTGTTTTCACGGCAAGAGCATGACGTAGAATTGACATAACTAAATTATGAATGCGTCTTAAATGACTTAATTGAGATGTTGGAATCACAACTTTTGAAACAAGTCATCAATAACAGCTGGGAGAAAGAGTGGGCCGTCCTTCGGTGGTCCTCCGCGGAGGGAGGGAGTGGGCGGAGTGATCTGCACAGAACAACAACAACACGTTCTACCCCGGTGACGCAGTCGGTTGCTAGGTGTGAATGAACTGATGCTTTGTCTCGGTCATTCGGCTCCTCAGTTTACAGGTCGACCACAACAAAGCAGCATCTTTTCCTCTCTGTTTTTGTGCGTCGTTCCGGGTTATTCGGAGCTAAACATGGCTCTTTAAGTTCTTGTTGACGTCGCTGGACCAGAAACGAAGTCGTGCTTTGCTTTAGCAACGCACCCCCAAGTGCTCTACAGTTTTCCCGCAAGAATGGAGTAAGTCCAACTCTTCTACTTCTTCCTTTTTTGTTGTTATGGCTGACCATTGGATGTCATTGACTTGTTTACTTCCCACTTTGTTTGAAATTTCCTATTTAATTTTAAACTTATTGTTTGCCCAGTTGTCACTGTTTTTTGTGATTACTTCAATAAGAGTTTTTATATATTTTTTTTTGCTAAACTGTACTTTTGTGTAAATAGATGCATTCAGCTTTTTAGATGTATCATAAATACAGGCATATATTGTCACTTTTCAGTTGTATGTCCCAATAGTTTTAAATTATTTTACTTACTTACTTACTATCCAGTTATTGTGCAAGATTATGAAAATTAAACGACTCCCTGGTAACAGCCTATAAATTGTCATTGTTGTAATCTGAACCGTTTAAGTGATCAAGCAGAGGATTAATTTAAAAGGAACCTGGATTGGAGGCAGTTGATCTGCATTAATCCCATTTAACCACCAGGGTGCTTCTCACTTGAGACACATGGTTACTGTGGAGTTTCTACATCAACAGTGGAGCCCATGACAGCACTACTAAAAGGTCCCACGTGTTTTCAGATGTGAAGTGCACTTTTGCTTTGAGGGCCAGTTAAATATCCAAAGGAGACAGTCGGGTCTTCTGTATCACTTTTTGCTACAATAGCTTTTATTTGAGATAGTGCATTTTGGTTCTTTAATTAAGGGCATTTGCATGTGACTTCTTCTGATTTGTAGCTGTTTTGTTTCCTGTTTCATCTCATCAAAACATGTCATTGTGTAGACATTACTTGCTGAAGGAAGCACTGCCTGTCACTGGTTACTCCATGATTTGATTGAACAATCCGGATGTTTTCTGAGTTGCACGGCGTTCTGATCCCTGCCTCCTCTTGTCCCTGCAGGTTTCATTATGCTCGCCCTGCCCTGCTCTCTGTGGCCCATCTGTCAGACCCCGCTCGCTCTCAGCGTGTGCTCGGACTCGGACTAAATCAAGGCGTCAACAGGCAAAATGATGGCAACATCAGCTCATGTTTGGAGGACTCTTCGTGTCTGCCCGGCAGACCCCCTCGCTCTCTCTCACCCACAGGCTAACCACAGCCAATCACAGGGGTGCAGGGGGGAGGTGTCAGAGGAGAGCCCGCATTTAATTGGTGAGTCGCAGCGAGTGCGTTTTTTTTATATTTTTCCCCATTTCAGGTGGGCTCGGCACTGCAGCACATTCGTCCTTCTTGAACAGTAAGTAAAAAACTAGCTACGATTGTTTTGTCGATATTGCCGGGCGACTTCAGGAAAAATGTTCTGCATTTACGATTGTCGATCAAATTTGTGCCTGCACTGCTAGCTTGATATTTTAAACTTTTGTTTTTCCTCCTAGCACTAACATTTTGTGCATCTAACAGATTGTTCCAAACATTTTTCCTCCTCCTGTGTAGGTGATGGTCTCACTGACTGGATGACGGAAGAAGTGGATTTCTCCTCGTACCTCCCAAATCCTCCTTCCCCTCCCTCCTCCACCAATGCCTCCCTTCCCCCTTCACCCCTTCAGAATGATATCCAGGTGCCCTCTGACTTGGAGGTCATGACCTCTTTGCTGCAAGAGGAACTCGCCCAGCTTGAGGACTACTTCCTGTCTGAGCCACTGCCAGAGAAAGGGCAGAGGCTGGGAAAATGCGACAGGGGTCCACTGCCGGCGGGTCCTCAGCCATTCAGTCAACTGCCATACGCCTCGTACTCTGCGTCCACCCAATCGGAGTCCAACCCACTTCTTGTTACCCTGGCAACCGGGGAGCTGGACCTGCTGAGCATCTGTGGTGGGCCCATAGGGCGATCCAAAATTCCTAGACATGCCCCGTACAGCTGCAGCCGCCCCAGTGGGTGTGGTAGGAAAAGAGTTCTGGAGAGCGTGAGGTTCGGCGAAGGCTACGAAAGCAACGTGTTGGGTTCCAAAGGAAGTAACTCAGGTAACTCTGCTGTGGCCCTGACGAGTAATTACGGCTCCGTGGAGGACGAGCAGCTGGTGGGGAAAAGCTACTGCCTGGGCAATGCGATCGAGGTCAGACGATGTGCTGGCTTATCCAAAGACGACAAAAACTGCTGCTTTACCCAAGACGTGATGAGTGGCGCCAAGGTTGTTGGTGGCGGGTTTGGCTTTGGTGGAACACTGGACCCTCCTCAGAAGAAAGAGGATGTGATGATGTACAGCATGAGGGAGGTCAGCGGAGGCACCGCGAACAGCGAGGTGCTGAGCAGCATCAAGGCCAGCGTGGAGGTGACCAAGGCCACCGTGTCTTGGAAAACCGACAGCGGTGAAAGCTGCTACATTCCAGCGACGCCTCAGTCCGAGGCCTTCAGCAGCTTCTTGGGGAACATCAACGAGCAGGTGAAAACGGAGAGTCTGCAGATGCTACAGCCCGATTTGCACTGCAATTACCTTGACGATCAGGCCCCAGAATGCTTCCTGATGGCGAGGGAGAGTTTGAATCTGGACAGCTCAGGGCACAGGCAGACATGCAGGCTAAGAGAAGACCACTGCGCTGTGAAATACGAAGTAGACATCATTCCACACGAAGGCGGTGAGCGAAAGCAAAAGAAAAGGGATCAGAACAAAACCGCCGCTCATAGGTAAAATCTTTGCTCCTACTGAATTTCTTTAAAAGCACCAACAGTTTTCATATGACTTGCGATTAAAAAACCCCCAAAACAACAGACAAACAAAACTCAACATCTTTTGCTTGACTTAGGTATCGCCAGCGAAAAAGGGCGGAGCTAGATTCTTTGGAGGAGCAGCTGCACTGCCTGGAGGGGAGGAACCGCGAGCTGCGAGACAAGGCAGAGTCCGTGGAACGTGAAATCCAGTACGTCAAAGACCTGCTGATCGAAGTTTACAAAGCACGCAGCCAAAGGCTCAAGCAGGACACAACAGCGTAACGCCGCACGACTGCAAGTACACTCAGACCGGGCAAAGCCGAGAAAATGCGCAACTTTTATTTGTTTTCTCGTGAACTGAATGTTTCATGTCTTTTTTTTTGTTTGTTTGTTTGTTTTTCCGTTGGTGTTGTTTTTATGATGCGGGGGGCCACTGCATGCTTTGCTGATGTGAATTGTTTTCTGAATTTTAAAATCAATTCTTTCTCATTTGTTTTTGGCACTGAAATCACCTGAGCCTTCACTGTGGCGCTGCAATGCTTTACCTGACAATCATCTTTAACAGATCTTCCTCTTTCTCTGAATCTACTGAATAACTTTTTTTTTGTTTTGTTTTTTTGGGGGGCGGGGTTGTAATGTCATTTAAACAGCAGGTTACGTATTTATTTTTAGCCTTACATTGAAATTGATGTCAGCAATAGAATCTGAAGAGTCTCCTTTTATTCCTATTTAATTATTACTTTTGAAATAAAGTTGCTGTAAGAGTTATGGAAGTAGATGGATTAGTACTTGTGTTTTGGTGAAACATTTCAGCTTTAATTGTAGACTTATCAGAACTGTTAAGTTTTAAAATTAAAGAAAGTTCTGTGAAACAATCTGATATTTTTTTCTTATTTAAATACGACCAGATATTTTTTAAACAACTCGTGTTGCTCTAATGATCATATTTGGGACTATCTAATTCCTCTGCTGTTTCATAACTTAATACAACAGATCAAATCACTGCAATATTTTGCAGCAACTGCTGCAAGAAATGTTCAATTAAAACAAGCGCAATCCTAAATGCTTTAAAGTAAACTGAGATGTGGCTATGGCTGTAAAGTTTACTTTGCAATAAATAAATCTGTTTTGCAGCTCAGGATAATTTATCTGTCCTCCAGATCTACAAACATCAGTAGATAATTATTGCAGGAGATAACATTTCAGTTTTGTTCCCCCCACCCCCCTCTCTCTCTCCTGTAGGATTTCATATTTCCCTCTTGGATTGAAAAAAAATACTTTTATATTTGGGTGCACATATTGTAATTAGTGGTGTTTTAGCAGCCTCTCTCTGCATGCTCTTCCATTAATGTATTTTTCCTTCTCTGAAACAGAATATTTAGAGATTCAGAAATGAGGATTGTCTCCTTAAACTGCTTAAGGCAATAAGTTTTATAGGCCTCCAGCTGAGCTGCACTAATTTGTAACTTTTTATATGTTCAGGGAGTAGTGTGTTGATTTTTTTTCTAAAAAAAAATGTTGAAAAAAGAAACAAATTCATCAGATTGTTTATTTTTAGGCCGTGTGAAATATTTTACAAGTCATTTATTTATCTAATAGAAACTCTTTTGCACATTACTTTACAAAGCTTTTCCTTTTTTCTTTGCACATTTAGTTTTTAGACAATCATTTATTTGCACTTTGTGTTTCTGTCTCTTTTTTTTTTTTTTTTTGGCTTGGGATTCATGATGTTTAACCCCCTGCGGTGTACTATCAACAAAACATGTTTAAACCAAAAATACGGGCGACAACTCATTGTATCTCTTTGTAATTTTGAAGCGATGTATCCACTATGTATGTTTCTTTCTGTGTGGTGTAAACTTTCCATTAAAAAAAATACATAAATAAATAAAAGCGTCATTAACTTGAACCCGTGTGTTAATTCGTGAGAGTGTGTGTGTGTGTTTTTTTAAAAGACCTTTCGGAATAGAAATGGCTTTCAACCTGCAGGATCTGAATTAAAAACGACTGACCTGAATGTGTTTTCTTCCTTTCTTTTAGTTGGATAATTTCGGTTTCTGTAGATTAAAGCACGGGCCGCAGGACGCCGGACAAGAAAACGCGTTTAGTTTTCACCCGACGTTATTGGTCTGATCGTCTTCGTGTCTTTAATTTCTTGTTAAATGGAAGCGAATGCAAAGAAATGAAATAATTTTCTGTATTAATTCATTTAAACGTGGCGATGAGTTGTTGATGTTTTTTCTCCGTGCGTTCGTCCTTTGGGCACTTTTATTTTTATACAATGGGATCTTAGGCTAGCGCTTTATATCCATTTAGAATTAAAAAAAAAAGTGAATGTAAAATTATTTACGATCCAATCCGTTCACATAAAAAAAGTCACTAAAATAGGCAGCCCGACCCGACAGTTTTATTTCAAAACTGAAAACTCCGCTGTGACAGCAAACGTCACATCTCCATGACGTAAAATATGTTTCTTTCTGCGGTTTAAAATATTCATTAAAGATACTTTCCCCCCATTTTTTTTTTTTTTTGCAATAAACGACCCTTAATTTATTTAGAAGTAAAGAACGGAGACATTAAAATGCTGTTATGCCCTCAAATCATCTTAATCTCGCAGCTTACAGCCTATACAGAATAAATGACATAATGATATAAATGCAGTGTTTTGTCGTATTAATTTCTAAACATTATCGCCTCCAAGAAAAACAAAAATGTATGAAAAGTATAAATGAACGTCATCGCGAAACGGATTCCCATTTTGAGCCAGCGCTGAAGGACTTGGAAAAAGAAATGCTTCACCTTGAATGTCTCATTTGATATTTAAAACGCGAGAAAGCTTCATCAGAAAATAGTTGCTAAACATAAACAACAAATTAAGAGCAATCTGAATTCGTTTTACTTTCAGATGTTTGATCTCGCTGGCATTTGTCGCTGTTGCTGAAGTCAACGTAGTGTTTGTGTAAGCGCCTGTAAAAGTTTTAAGGAATAATAAAACCGAAAAACACACGTAAACAAATAGTCGAGGGGTGACCAAGTTCATGGCGGAACAAATATATAAAAAGTCTACACCTGCTTGTTAAAATACAGAGCTTTCATGATGTAAAAAAAAAAAGAAAAGCAGAATGATAAATCCTTTAAATGTTTGATTTTAATGAGATATTTATTCATGTACAGCGAAACTGGAAACGAATGAGTGACGAGGTTCAAGTAAAGAAGAATAGAAAAGCTGCAGTAACCTGGTTGTTGCCTGTTCTCATCCTAAGCTACTTTGTTGAACCACTCAGTTTCAGTATCGAGTCTTCTTACACCTGCCATTAACCAAAGTCAAGTTAACATTAAATAAAGGTCAGCAGTTCTGGAACGTTTGTCTTGACATTTGCATCCTTCAGCTAAAGATCAACAGGAAATGATGATCAAGAACCAACAGGCAGTTCTGGTCTACATGTTTCCATGTGTTTTCAACCATTATGGGTAATGGTTGAAAGACGCAAACCTTTTCTTCCAAAAATAAATAAATAAATAAATTAATTAAAAAGGGACTCTGACCGGACAAAAATCACCTAAAACCTTGAAGAAGAATGCGCTGCATTTTGCAGAAACCCAACTTGAACTTTAGGCTAACTTGGGAACAAGTGGCAGCATCATGATCTGGTGATGTTTTGTTCAGATGGAAAAAATCATAAACATTTGTAAAGAGCTAAAATCTGTGAGTGATTAAATCAAAGAAAAAGGTGAAGGAGCAAGCAAGTCGCCGCAGCTTCTAAATGTTGGGAAATTGCTTTTTTTTTTTTTTAACTGGGGTTTGTGGAGTTTTTACTCCCAATTCATGTTTAAAGCAGTCAGAAGTGTGATTTCGTTATTGCTCCAGTCGCCCAAATATTGTGCAGCACACTTCTAAGGGACACGGACGTCCCTCTTCTCGTCAACTTCCCCGCTGCACCGCATCCTGCTGGCTGCAGAGTTTCAGAGCTGCGATTGCAGCTTCTCTCACGCCGTTGTTTGAATCATTGCACGCGACTCTGAGAAGAGAGCTGTACGCCTCTTCATCCAGCACCGACACGACGCCGTCAACGTTCACCAGGTTTCCCAGAGCCGCACAGCAGTGACGCCGCGTGACGGCGTCGCGGTCCGAGAGCAGGCAGGTCAACGAGGCGGCCGACCTCTGAGCTTCGTCTGTCCATCGCCTCTGTTCATCTGCGTCAAACATCTGCTCCGTCACCGCGTCACCAGCTGCTTCGACGTGTGAATGCGCTTCTTTACTGCGATTGCTCTCTTTGCCCCACCCTGAAGAGTCACTGCGGCTTCCTCCCGTTTTAAACTTTGCTGCAACGTATCCCAGCCAGTTCCCCACCGCCCTGCATGCCGTCCGCCGCACCTGTGTGCAGGAGTCATTAAGAGCGTCTATCATCTGTCTGAAAATGTCAGCCTGCAGGTTATGCGCTCGATTAGCCCTGAATGGTTCCAAATTCCCCACAAACCTACATGTGGCAACTCTGATCTGGTCGTACGGATGAGTCAGCGCCTGCTGCAGCGCCGCGGCCTCAACAGATATCCGAGGGGAAGCGGGCTGAGAGGAGCAGCGGGCCACTTGGGACAAGAGATTCAGGAGCTCCACAGCACAGTCCCACAGCTCATCCTGACGCAGCAAGTCAGAGAGCAGAGAGCTGGCAGTTCTGGTCACAGCGGTGGGATTTTTGGAGGGAAAGAGCTGGTTGCTCTGAGTTGACGAAAAAAAGCCAGAAGCACCTCCTCCGACGTGGGACACGGAGCGCTCAGGATCACACAACAGCAAACGGCTCAGCAGGGAGAGAGGCAGCTCCAGCTGAGATGGAGGGAATGTCTGAATTACCTGCAAAGCCACACAAAAAAAATCAGAGCGCTTGTCACACATCCAGCATTTGACTTGCAAAGTACAAAGATGTTAAATCGTAAAGTATTGCTTCTCAGAGAGGAGCACGGTGCAAGAGCCACTGTGTGTTGCATCAGACTTTTGTTTGCCACTGAGGTCTTTATAGGAGCATGAGAAGGCCACTGACCTGCAGGAGGCTGGAAGCAACATGACAGCTGTCGTACACCTGCAGGACGGCGGCCATGGTGTGTGGCGGCAGGTCCAGAGCAAACGGAAAGCAGAGCAGGTGGCAGCTCAACGTGGACAGAGAGTCGCAGCTCAGCTCCGTGTCGGCGGTCCCACAGGGAGGCTTGGCTGATAAATGAGGACTGCAGGGTATAAATGATGATGCTGTTATCTCGCAGTGCTGGAGCTCTGTGGATTTATGACTTCTACTCTAAAATGGTTTAATTAGGAAAACACACTTCAGAAAATTTTACTGGGATTCTAAATGACAGGCAAACACAACAAAGTGCATTTCTGAAAAGAGGAAGAAATAAAAAAAAAAAAAAGAAAAAGAAACCGTGGAGATGGACATGGATATGCTGGCTCATACAATACACTGCCTATTTACCTAAAGTCTGCGCCACACATCTCCTCCAAACTAGCGGCAGCAGCAATTATCAAACATGTAGTAGAACTGCATTTCTGCTGAACTTGACATAGGAACTACTTCCCAGTCTGACACTCCTAAGAATGGCTGGAAAACAGCATAATGTCATGAAGACATGCTGAAGGCAGTGTCAGAAAGAGCAGAAGCTTCTTAGCGCGGCGCTCAGGAAGAGTGCGGCAAATGTCACGGTCGGACAGCAGGGAAACGTGGGAGTGTTGTCCAGTCAGATCGTCAATTCCCGAAACCACATACGCACAAAACAAACTAGTAATTAGCGCACATGAGGTCAGTGTGACCCCACCGGATCGTGTACAGAGTAAATTAAAAACACTTGTGGAGTTCAAATGACCCCATTTCTTAAGACTGCGGGAGAGTTAGAGACAGACTCCCAATTTCAAGTTTCTTTTTAATTATTTTTAACATATGTACCATTTTCATAACAACTGAAGGCAACATAGTTAGTTGATTGTGCCATTTTATAACACAATCTGCCTAGAAACTGGAGGCAATTTTCATCCAAACAAAGCAAGAGATATTTTGCAAAGAAGAATGGGCAGAAATGACAGTTCTAAAAAATTTTGGCTCAGAGAAATAAACTCTAGATTTTAATTTGAAAAAAAAAAAAAAACAATTTTTTAAAAATTATGCATCATTTTCCGTCCACATCACATTAATGCACTACTTGGTACTACTGGTCTATTATAAAAAGAAAAGCTTGAAAAGTTGAGGGTGCAAGTACTTTACAAGGCGTTGTAAAACACTAACCAGTCGTTGCTGAGCAACCGGCAGAGCGTGTATACACACTGAGACTTTTTGTCAGAAAAAAGAGGAATGCATGAGTTCAGGTCCTTTGTGAAGATAAGCAGGGCAATAGACAGAAAAGAGTAAATTCCTGAAAAAAGAAGGAAAGAAAAAGTCATTATTAACATGTACAATACTAAATATATATATAAAAAAAAAGAAAAAAGTTTTGAGATTTGGGTTTTACCATCTGCTGAAAATAAGTCCAGGTTTGGCATTGGGCTTGCGAGTGAAGAACCAACTTTTTTCCACAAATCCAAGAACACAAGTGGATTTAACTTAGATGAGACTGAAGCATGGTCATCCTGAGGAAAATAATAAATGAAACTCACAATGCGTAGAGATTTATCCCTGAAAATGTAGTACGTTTCACCCGGCGCCTCACCTCAGACAACGCGTGTAGGAGTAAAGAGAGGAGGCCATCATACAGTCCCCAACCAGGAGGCGGTAACACCAGAGGCTTAGAGTGCACAGAAACAAACAAGCTATAAACAAGTGCAGGAAATTATAGACCGTAATGAATGGCGCATTGCTCGGTACCGAGGGATGCATTTTCAGCAGGGAAGTCAAATTCTCCACGTCGACAAAAACATCAACACCATGTAGAGTGAAGAGAGATAAAACAGAAGCAGCGAGCGGCTAGAGAAAAAAAACAAAACAAAACAGAAAAAGCATCAAAATCTAATCTGATTCAAAAGGGGCAGCTTGATCTCATAAAATATTGTCAGGAACACAAAAACACAAGTCATGGTCAAATCAACACAGATGAAGAAGACTTTTCACTTCCAAAGACCAAACCAAAAATCCAAACATGTTATAAAAATGTGCTTATTGGACTGATTGAAGTGAATACTTACTGCCAGAGCAGTGAGATCTGACTGACTGATAATCGCCTTGAGCGGCTCAGTGAACTCTTCCAGTCTGCAGGGTGAAACCAGAGGAAGGTCTGTAAATAAATAGTCAGCCTGCAGTTGTGCTGTGTTCAACAAAAAAGAAAGGAAGAAAACCTGGGCTCGTCTTCCACCCAACCACGATGCCTTTCCCAGTAGAACAGAATAAATTTAATAATTTCTCCAAGAGTAAGCACATTCCTCTGCTCCTGAAGAGAAAATACAAAAAAAAAAAAAAAAAAAAAAAAAGGAGGTTTCTAGTAAACAAGAGTTATTTTAGGTGTGCTTGTATTACAGAAAAGTAACCTTGATAAAATCAGTGTTTGAAACAGAATCTCTGATCAGCTCAAAGAAGGATTGTGGTAGTTTAAGTTCATGGCTGATGTGGTGAGACTTCTCGAGGTCAGGGGTCACGATCAAGTTTCGTAGGACCTTTATCACCTGCTCAATCTGCTGCACGTTTATAACACCGACACCTATCAGCTGAACAGAACGAGAGTAACCTTTAAGTTATGTTAGGACAGAATCGCTAAATAATCAATCGTAGAAACAAAATGAAATCACTTACCTGAACCTGAAATGCTGTAATGCTGGATTTAATTTGGCATATGATGTCATTGTAGTTTACGAGCTTCTTCTGCTGCCTGCTTAGGTCTGTTTCCTGGACACGATTCTCACAGTGCCTTTCAGTAGCAACATCCTGAAGGAAGAAGAAATTATTTTCTCAAGATAATTGTCTCAATACTTTCTAAATCACAGCAAAAGCATTCACATCCCTTGAACAGACATTAGATTGGCGGCTCCGTGGTTCACTTTCCATGATAACCTACTACATGAAATCCAAAACAAAATATAAATATATTGGAGTTTGCAGTTGCAGAAGCAGAGTGAAAGCTGAAAGTTGCTGACCTGCCTGTGAAGTGCGGCTGGTCTGTCATTCCCTCTGCGCACGAGTCGCGGCCCGACCTCAACGGAGGGAAACTCCTGTTCGTAGTCTCTGCTGATCTGACCCCTGGTGAGAAAATGAGCAGAGTGACAGTATAATTCAGCTATACATGTTTTACTAGTTTCTATACTTCCTGAAACAAACCTTTGTTTTGGTGTGGCGCGTGTTTTACTCTTCAGGTTCATGCTTTGATTGGCTGCCGAGGCCAACTGGCCAGACGCTGCAGGAACTTCAATGGAGAGGGCTTTAGGCGACGCCATTACTGCAGCAGGATTCATTCTTTCACACCCTTCCTTCTTTTTCTGTGAAGCGACACCAAACAGGTTAAATGAGCATCTGAAAATGATCTCAAAAAAACACTAGAATATACTGCTGGTTAGCTTTAGCACCGTCACTGCTGACCTCTCTCTTTTGGAGCTCCATCTGCTCCCTGGCCTTTCTCATTAATATGCTCTCTCCTGATGTCGGCACAGACTTTTCTGCCACTTGCTTCATCTTCCTGGCCACCACGTCTGGGCTAGGTGTGACTGTCAGTGGGCTGAAGAGGTTGGTGTCTGACAGCACTGCCATCGCCACGAAAACAAATTTGTTCAATTTAGAAATGTAAGCAATTATTTAAAGCTTTGGAAAATCTATTAAACCCGTGGTCCAAAATATAAAGCTTGTTACCAACAAAAATAAATCGCAGTCAGTTTTTTAATTTGTTTTCGCATATCTGTTGTACATATTTAACGGAGGTAAAATCTACCCTTTCAAAAACAAGCTTCTGCCTGCATAGTGAGAAAACAGACAGCAAAATATCAACGATGTTTCAAATATCTCGTTTAATTCCTTTGTGTGTTTTTTCCACCAATGAAGTTGAACAGTTGCCTCCTTCAAACTTTATGAATGAGATTGTGTAACATTTCAGACGAATACTGCACGGATTTGAAAACAATCTAGCTTAATTTTTGCACCTCTTGTAAAGACATCAACACAAAAAGACAAAGCAGAAATGTTATTCTTTCTTTGCTGTGTTTTTCAAGAATGTTGTATTGTCTAAAAAAAAAACCTGAGTTGGAAGTTCTTACTTCATTAGTCAGGTGTGTTTTAAAGACACATGTTTCTCGTTGAAGATAAATCATCAGATATCATCTATGGTGAAAAGAGAAAAGGTTTAAGGATTACCTAAAACACCATCAGCAACAAAGGAGTGGTGCAGGAGGTCTGGCCATGACAAACGTTTCTGTGGGTCTTTAGTCAACAAACCTTTCAGGAAACTCTGTGAAAGACATGAAAACTTATGTTTTTTTTTATTCCTGATAAGATTGTATTGGTTGGGACGATTCTAAAACGTAACATGCTGATTAATATCTTTTCCATCTGCTTGTCACACAGAACAGTTAGTTCAATCTACTTGACTTGACTGGAAGGATGTTAAAGGGCTGTACTGTTACCATGCAGCTGTCGCTCATCGTGTCCGGCCATTTGATCGGATCTTTTACAATGAGCTGCACCAAGTGGAAGATGGAGTTGGTGTAGAACGGTGGCACCCCCGTGTGGAGCTCATACAAAATGCAGCCCAGAGCCCACAGGTCAGCAGTGTGGTCGTACGGCTTCTCCTCTACGATCTCAGGCGACATGTACAGCGGTGTTCCCTTGATGGAAGTCAGGACCAGGGTGGAGACGCTCATCGCTCTGGCAAACCTGTGGCAAGATTTTTGAGTAAATAAGAAGTTTGGGAATAGATGCATTTAAACACACACACACACACACACACACACACACAAAAAACTCACCCAAAGTCACAGAGCTTCACCACACCGCTTTTTCCTAGCAGGATATTTTGAGGTTTCATGTCACGGTGAAGGATGCGATGGGAGTGTAAATAATACAGAGCAGAGACCAGCTGGCAGGCAATTTCTCGCACCTTGGAAAATGTTGAGGAGTCAAATATGCATTATGTACAATCAAGTGGAGTAAATGTCATCATAGGCAAAACTAAAGTTCATGATTTGCATGATTATGGTTTTAATAATAGTTTTTATCAGATTATGACAATTCTGTCATAACCTGATTATGACAGAATATGTCATAAAAGAATGAGTGTCCAGAATACAAAACTAGAAACAGGAAAACCTAAAAAAGAGGTCATAGACGTGCATCATCCTTCAGGTAATTATCTGTTTTATATCTCGTTATTTCACACATCAGAGTTAGGTAACAAAACAACCAAAAATAATATTGCAAGTAAAATATTCTATATAAATACAGCAAACATTTTACTTTAAAATATTCTATAATAGTCTATAAAATCTATAAAACGTCTAAGGTGAATAGGTGTGGTTGGTTCTGCTGTTATGAGACAGTTAAACATTTTCTGGTCTGGTCTTAAGCCCCCAATGTTTGTGGGCCCTACCACAGCCTCTGGATCTCACACACGCCATGAGTTTGAGCAGTGAATACCTGGCTTTCTGGCAAGTGTCCATCATCCTCCAAAATCTGGAACAACTGGCCTTCTGCATACTCAGTTACAACCACAACCTATTATAACGAAACATTAGATTTTTGACAAGGCAAATGGTCTAGAGACTGAAAATTCTTACAAAGGTTATACTTTTTTAATAAATTTTACGTGTGTGTGTGTGTGTGTGTGTGTGTGTGTGTGTGCAAACAACAGTACTGAAGAGAGAGTTAAAAGTACCTCGGTTTCAGTCTCAAAGCTGTCAAAGAGCTGGACTATATTTGGGTGTCGAAGATCTCTCATAATTTCTATTTCTCTCTTCAAACTTCTCAGCTCTTTTTCAGTCCGACCCACTTTCGGCATAAACTTTAGAGCTACGACCTAATGATATAAAACCAACAAAATGAATGAGACGGAGAGCCAAACAAACATGGGAATAAAAAAAGTTTCGATAAAGGAAAATTTACCTTGCCGGTGAACTTTTTTCTCCCCTTGTAAACTCGGCCGAATGAGCCCTCTCCCACCAGGTTTAGTACGTGGTAAGAATCCATCTGAACCACCGCGGGCTAACGGTCGAACCGAAACAAACACTGTGATGATAATGTAGCTCCTGTGTGAAAACACAAGTGGCAGTCAACGTTATGAGCAAAACGTACAACTTACATAAAACAAGTTATTAAGACTAACGACGATGCTTTTTGTTACATCTGGAGACCGACAAAGCCTAATGTTAATGTTAAGTTGTGTTTTCAGTAACTGAAGAAACGGTTGTGTGGACCTACTTAACTGCCTAGCAATAAAAGTTATTATTAACTCGTTTCATTTGACCTTTCATGCGTAAACCTTTAGAAGTTATCATAGTTTGGATTAATTACTGCACTATATCAACAAAAAATATATATTTAAAAATAATTTTACGACATAATGAAAAATTCAAATCCGGCATTTCTGTGGACTAAAAAATGGACAGGGGCCCTAAGCCTAGCGACAGCTGTTGCGTTCCTAGCAACAGGCTTCTTCATGAGGAAAACAAAGCGCTCTGTGGCGTTGTTACAACGAAATCTGCAACAATCAGAGGGCGCTGTTGGTTGTAAATGTGATAATCACCACTTTTACAGTCATGAGAACGAAATAGAACAAAATCTTTCAACCCACTTGACTCAAATAATAGGATTATTAGCGGGACTCTGGAGAACTTGACTGGATACTGAATAGGTAATCGAATAAAATAAAGATAATAAAATAATAGTAAACCTATGGAACAGTCAAGGGGGATTAGAAAAAGCAAAATGAAAAATAGAAAAGTTATATAGAAAAAACTTAGCCTCCATTTGCATTTTTTTCTAATAAGAAATATTGAAATTCTCTATTGTCTTATTATAAATATGATCAAGGTTTTCTTAGTTTTTAACTTAGTTTCATCATTTCTTATGTAAGGGTCTGCTTTAACCTCAGTCAAACACTTTGGAATGGACTGAATAAATAATATTATACATAAAGTGATTGAATGACTGATAACAGTTTTATTATTCTGTAATGGTCATATTATTAATTGCTTTAAAATTGCAGCAGGCCTGCTCGTGTACCTATCTTCTTCCGCCCAGCCTCCCTTTGTGCCAACTGCAACGTGGATTTAGCAAACAAAAACCGAAGAGCATCTATTTACTCAGCTATTCGCTAGAGGGCGCAAGTGTTTTATCCGAACAGCAAGCGCGTCTTGGCTTTTGCAGTTAGTGATACTTACCATATTCAGGTCCCTATAATTTATGCTGCCAACTGACAAATTCCCATAGAAGCAGGTTACAATAGTAGATTTGTGATGCTTTGCATGTTTAGACAAGATCTTTTTAAATATGTCTCTTTCCCCCACCCGTAACAAATGTATTACACTCCTTGTAGATAAGTATATAGAATCAGTTATGTTTATGTACATAGCATCAATTCACCGCAATTGTAATTTCAAGGTAGGTCTATGTAATTTCCAGTTATATAAATCTAATTCAGTTTAAAGGATATTCAAATCGGTCCAGAACATTTAAGTATAATCTAACTTTAGTCGAGAAAAGAAGGTATTTACAGAGTTGTGAGGAACTGCAGATGAAGTCCTCATCTGAACTGTACATCCAATGAGCGCCTCCAGAGACTGCCCCCGGTAAAGGAGAGATTGTGTGTGCATATTTTAACATATGACAGAATTGCTCCGTCCTCAGAAAGCAGCGGTCGCCTCAGCGCTTACAGGTGGAACATGAAAATGGATCATGACCGGGAGGAGTTTACTCTGAGTGAACTTGTACGACCGGTGGCTTTGTGTTAGAGCTCTGCGCTTTGGATAATGCTCTTTACCCTTATCTGTGCACTTTTCCGCTTCCGCTGAGATCTTACATTCAGCTTAGTTTTCTTTGCTCTGTTGGTCATAGCATTCCTCACTTGATGCAAACATCGACATGTTTGTCAGGACAGTTTTTCTCCTCCACTTTGTTAAATTTATTCGATGCATGGAAAGTGAGATTTGCTTTCCGATTAGGCTGGATGACGACAGGGATGATTTTAACAACGACTTGGATATCAGTGTTAGAAAGCGTGTCATGAAGATACAGGCTTTCCAGCAAGAATTAGTGATCGATTTACAGCAAGATTCAGATTTCATTGCTCCCTCCATCTCTGTCCAAGACGGGTTTTGGTTCTCCAACACTGATGTCAGCACTGACTTGAGAGGGTGTTTTTACTCTGGACATGTGAACGGTGACAGAGGTTCATATGCTGCTTTAAGCCTCTGCAAGGGTTTGAATGGTGCCTTTGGCTTCCAGGGTTGGGAATATTTCATCCGCCCGGTGCGCAATGACACCCGGAGCGCACAAGACGCGCACATCGTCCGACGCAGACCCAGCAACGACCTCAGGCAGAACTCTACTTCCAGGTGCGCGGTGGAGAGCGATCTGAGCCCCTTAGATGCGCAATCCCTGCAGAAATACAAGCAGACGACGGACCTCAACAATGTGACCGAAACGATGCTGAAGAAGATGGGCAGAGCTAAAAGGTTCGCGTCTGTCCCCCGGTACGTGGAGACGCTGGTGGCTGCGGACGAGTCCATGCTGAGCTTCCACGGAGATGACCTGAAGCACTACCTCTTGACGCTGATGTCGGTCGCAGCGAGGCTGTACAGGCACCCCAGCATCCTCAACTCCATCAGCATCACCGTGGTGAAGATCGTGATTATATCCGAGGAGGACAAAGGTCCCAAAGTGTCCGGGAACGCAGCCATGACTCTGCGTAACTTCTGCACCTGGCAAAAGAAGATGAACAAACACAACGACAAGCACCCGGACTACTGGGACACAGCTATTCTCTTTACTAGACAGGTAAGATAGCATATTTCACAATAAGGCGAGAAAAAGTATTTACACCTTATAACCTCTTTTTTCCCCCAATATATATGCATATGTTTATATATGTTTTGGAATCTAATATGTTAGACCAAAACAAGTTGTTTATTTGCACATTAAAATGATATAAAGTAAGAAAAACATTATGTGAAACTATTTTTAAAAAAATTGTTGAAAATTGTTTAACTATTTATTCATTTAGTGTGTTATCCCTAAATAAAATGCAATGTAGGACAAAGAAACACAGCAGCAAGGTGCCATGCACACACTGCACATTGCCCTGAACACACAATCACCATGGTAACACTTGGTGGTAGCAGCATGATCCTGTGGAGATGTTTCTTTTAAGCAGGAGCAGAAAAACTCGCCAGAGTTGATGGGAAGATACACTGACCTAGATTCAGATGAATTCAGAAAAACAATATGCTAGAGGCTGCAAAAGTCCTTCAGAAAAAGGAGGAGCTTAATCTTCCTGCACTGATCCTAAACAACTAGAACTACAATGAAGAGCCTTAAATGGAGTCATATTCATGTGTTTATGTGGCCTAATCAAAACCCAGGCCAAAATCCATTTGTGCATTTGTAGCAACACTTGGAAAATTTACGTACACGGACGTCCTACACCTAATTTGACTACGCTCAAGTTATTTTGTGAAGAAGAAAGGACAGACAAGTAAAGACATACACCAACAGACCTGAAGCTGCAAGATGACAAATGGTGGCTCTGTGAAGTATTGACTCTGGGGGGCTAAAAACAAAAATGCATACCTACGTTTTCAGATTTAAATGAAAGCAAAAGAATGTATGCACACAGGCATGTTTCACATGCATGGCAGTCTTCCTGACAAAATCAGCCTTGTCGGTTCTTTGGTCAGCTCTGAAACACAATTCCCATCTTTGTCAATAGTCACAACCCACCTCCAACATCGATGTAAACCTCATAGAACAAACACTATGTTAGTACAAATTTTAAACCATTTATAACTAGCTTCCTATACTGAGACATCATCTCTAGGACATGAGAGACACTTTGCCACGCTTTCATCTAAAGTAAAATAGGATCCATCCAAAAGCAGCTCCATCCAGAATCAAAAGCCAAATGCAATATAAGGTGTTGAATTACTTTTGGCCACTTCTGCTGTGAGCTTTGGTATAGTTCTGACTTTTGCCAAACATTGAACGTCAGTGTCCTCAGGGATGCACTTGTTGGAAGCATCTTGTTTCTTTCAGCCCTTCCCATTCTCCTCCAGCTGGGGTTTTTCCAGCCCTGCCCACCATTCTGCCTGCGCCTCATTAAACCGGCCCCTGAAGGGAAGACCGAATCGGTTAGGGAACTGATCAGAGTCGCATCCTTCAGCGTATTTGCCCCATCTGCTTGCTCCGAGTCAGGAACAAGCAACTCTGCACAGCTGCAGACAGCTCACACAGCTTGGATCTTTACAACACACCATCGTGACTGACGTAAACTTCCTCTCGCATTCATTATCTGTGCTGTGTTGATTCTGCACCACATTCCCTTAGTCTCTAGAGCGCGGAACTCGAAAAGGTTGCTCCGGTTCCACACTTAGGTATTTTATAAAATCCGGATTGTTTTGGCTCCGCAGCTGACATTACAAACTACCCAGCCAGTTCAGATGACCCTAATAAAGTGCACAGGGCCAGCCCACAATGAGTAATGTGGATACAATTTGCTATATAAAGCAGGAAGGCAGGCGACAAGGGATTCCAGCTCTGTTTCAGTAAGGATGTCTTTCAGTGACCTCATCTGTTTTAATCAAGGACTGTTACAAGCACAAAAAGCAGCATTTACAAGAGACTTCTTGTACAAACCATTAACAGCAACTTAAATGTTCAGAAATTGAAGAAAATTATTCATATACATATACAGTATGCACAAAACCTGCTTAAAATGTTTTAGCTCAAACAAAACCTTAGGTTTTGATCAAAATTATACCAATATTCTTGTACATTTTGTGTATAGTTATGACCAAAAGAAAGCAATATCAGTTTTCAATTTGGATAGCTTTTATACAATCAAATCAATTCGAAGGACAGTTTTAAGAAGTCTTCCCAAATATGATCAGGAATTGGTTGTAACTCAACATGTTTTACCATTTAAGGCATGGAAGCAGGACATTTCTAATTCAATTCCAGCTTCTCTGTCACATTCCAACCACAAACTTGAATGCATTTTATTGGGATTTCATTTTATAGAGCAAGAAAAAAAGCAGCAAACATTTGCAAAGGGGAAGGAAAATATTTTTGTTCTTTTTGCACTTTCAGTAACTCGAATTGTTTCCACGGTTCTCTTCAAAAATAACTCAAAGCACTGTCAGATTAGATGGAGAACATCTGTGCACATCAGTTCTTAGCTTAAAAACTGAAGTCAGAATCACCTTGGGAAAATTCAGAGGTTTCTGATGGAAAATCCAATATAACTGCATGCATTTATAACTGACAACAGTAGTTGATATGCTTTTCAGTCATCTTGTGTCTTGTCAGATCTTTCACATACTTCTTTATTCAAGATAATTGCTACAATGTCTAAAAGTAGAAAATGCTGAAAAGTACATTGTGAATGTCTTGTTCCAGTAATGGGAGTTAGACTGGTGACCAAATCTCATGTTTAAACAAATCTTCTGTCTGTTGGGGCTTATTAACTGGCAATTATGCACAACTTGTCTATTTTTTCTGCAAATAATTGGGCCTCCTCTGAGTAACAGGAAAGACTGCCCAGAAGGGTGTATCACAGTTTGACATCTGTGGGTCAAACTATTTCATTGTAGCTTTCTTCCAGAATTCGCCTGTATTTCACTTCCTCCTTCTTCCCATCACCAAAAAGAGCTTCCCCA